ATACAATAACATATAGTTAATACCCAACAAACTAGCTGTTAATACAGTTATTACTGGAGCAGTAATACTGGAGTAGTAAATCGGTGATTAGTTGATATTAGTCATCTCCCCACAGATATGCTGGCAGTTGAAATCCTAATGAAGTAGCCTTTTCTGGTCTGGGTGATAAAACTGTATTGTTTTATTCTTGTTTGAACTGAAAGGATTCACCTAGCTCTTAGAATTATCTTGCAGGCCGAGCGTGGTGGCTTACAGCTATAAATCCTAGCACTTTGGGAAGCTGAGGTGAGAGAATCACACAGGCCCAGGAGTTGAAGACCAGCCTGGGCAACATGGCGAGACCCCATCTCTACAGAAAATTAAAAATTAGCCAGGCTTGATGGCATGTGCCTGTAGTCCCAGCTATTTGGGAGGCTGAGTTGGGAGCATTACTTGAGCCCAGTAGGTTGAGGCTGCAGTGAGCCATGTTCATGACACAGCACTCCAGCCAGGTCTACAAGAGCAAGACCTTGTCTCAACAGCAACAAAACAGTTACCTTATATTCTGCCACATGTGATGGATGCCAGAAGTTTCTTAGGAATATTGGGAGAGAATGTATCTTCTTAATGGATAGATATTTCTTTTTCTGTTCTTTTCTTTTATCCAGTTTCTTTTCTCACCTCCTTACCCTAACTCCCACTGTACCATGTGCCCAAAAGTCTTCCAGCTTTTGGATATAATGAAGATCTTAAAACAGAGCTGCATCCTGCTCTTTGAAACCTGTTGAAATCAGTGGGCCATTTTCTGTCTTACCAGTCCCTCTCCTTCAGACACACTGATTCCTGTGGCAGTGTGCCACCACCACAGCCTTTTCTTTCCCTCCCTTCCCTATGCCTCTGAGCTGACATTCCACTCAAATGGCTTACTGTACTCTGCAGTGTATTGCTCCATTTTGCTGCTGCCCTTGCTGTTTCCTCCACCAGAATCATGGTTCTTTGTCATCTCACTCTCTGTGTCTGTTGAAAATCTGCTGGGTAAACCCTTAATTTAGAACACAGGTGTATGTGTTGGGGACATGTGTATGATCTTTCTAGTACTGACATTGCTAACTTTATAATACAGTATGTTAAAAAAAAGTAAGATACGTGAGACCTGTGTTTTTATACTGTTTGATATGACAGACATCTCTCTGTATTGTAAGTAGTCATGAGTATATAGCGGTAGCAGTGGCTAACATTTTGGGGCACATGCCAGGTACTATTTTAAGCACATTTAATTTCTGTCATTTCTGTTCTCATGGGATTATTATTATTGTTACCCCAAGATATATCTTATTAAACTGTTACATTTTTACATAGGAATTTTTTTCTTTTTCTTTTTTTTTTTTTTTTTTTTTTTGAGACTTGAGTCTCTCTCTGTTGCCAGGCTGGAGTGCAGTGGTGTGATGTCAGCTCACCACAACTTCCACCTCCTGGGTTCAGGTGATTCTCCTGCCTCAGCCTCCCTAGTAGCTGGGACTGTAGGCGTATGTCACCATACCTGGCTAATTTTTGTATTTTTAGTAGAAACGGGGTTTCACTTTGTTGGTCAGGCAGGTATTGAACTCCTGACCTCGTGATCCACCTACCTTGGCCTCCCAAAGTGCTGGGCTTATGGGCCTAAGCCATGGCACCCAGCCTACACTGGGAAATTTTATACATACATATATATATATGTATAAACACACACACACACGCCAGTATATACACACATACATACATATGCATATATAGAGAGAGAGAAGGAGAGAAAGAGACTACATGATTATTCAGCTGTGGAATTAGCAAAACATACAGGACCCATGACCTAGCCTATGCTTACCTAGTCTTCTGCCTCACATCACATTTCATGTTTCATCTACCTAAATAAGCATAATTCTTCCCTTGCAGAACTGGTGAGGATGAAATATGAGATTGTAGAAAACACAAGCATTTGAGTCACAGAAGGTTCTCAGCTTTTCCCAACACTTTTCTTTCCATAGCCTGTCTCTGCCTTAGCCCTTAGCCAAGTCCATCTTATTCTTTAATGAGTCCGTCATCACTGATAGACTGAGAGCTTCTTATAATTCTTTCTAACCTCTGCATGAAATTTCAATTCAGGATAATGGCTGTGTCTAGGGAGGGAGGGAAAGATTGGAATTGAGTAGAGAGATAGTAGTAGGGGAATAGGGAATCATTCTTTAATATTTTATTTCTTAAGCTGGGTAGTGCATACATGGATATCGATTACTCTGATAAATTTTTTTTTCATTATCAATATTTGATATTTTCAAGCAAACAGCCTATATATCTGTGTTTACTACTGAGGTACTCCCATTGGGAGCAGGTAAAATGAACAGGTAGCTGAATTCTTTTTTCACTGGTCTCCAAAATCAGAAAAGGATATCAGATGAGGTGGGAGTCTTGGTGGTAAGGTGGGACCTCTTTGGCCTCAGACAGAAGGTTTGAGGAGTAGCTCTAGCACATGAGGGTGATGAAACCTGTGCATCCTCTCCATTGAGCTAGTGTGGCCTTTCTTTTGTGTTTTTCTGAGCTGCTCCTCTTGAGTGAACTTGGGTAGTAACTAGAGCTGCATTTTTTTAATATCTCAGCCTGAAATGCTGACAGCCTCTGCAGGCACCATGAATTTTTAATGTGGTGGTGATTAGAGGGCTGGCTAGGGCCTCATTTCATTTCATTAGACTGTTGTGACACTTGTTTCCTTCATTGTATTTAGACTTCCTGGGTTATTTCCCAAACCAAACTCATGTTCTGTTTCGTGATTGCCCATTCCTCCCATGCATTTACTAAGGTGTGTTTGAAAGCAAAATTTATAATTTTGATCTCAATTATTGAACAACCTAGGCTATTTCAGAAGGGGGTGCTTCTTAAATTCCTGAAATGGAATTCAATACATTCAGGTCAACAAATACTAACCAAGCCACAGCTTTGAAAGTCCAGCTCACTGAAAGATCTACAGCAGTGTCCACTGGGTGGGGATGCAAAGTGAACCATAGGTAATCTCTGCCTCTTGCAGTGTGGTGGTAGGAAATGATGTGTGCATACACACACACACACACACACACACACACACACACACACACACACACACACACGATATGAGAATTATGGGCAAGGAGGGATTGTTTCCAATTAAAGGAAGGCTTTATAAAGAAAAGTAATTTATTGTAAAGCCTTTAAAGATAACTTTGATAAATATCTATTTGTTCATTTATTCATTTCACAAATACTGTGCATCTACTGTGGGCCTCCATATAAATTCAGCTTCTCTATACACCACAATAGAGGATGGAGATGGAGAGTTGAGTACAGGCATCTGAAATGCTTCCATGTGAATGTGGTATACATCACTTCCACTCACATGGCCTTGGGTGGTGCATGCCTTATTCCTTGCCTTACTTCAAGACTGTAGGGAAATGCAGCACTCCTTTCTGTAACCCTGCAAGGATTGGGAACTTGGATATCCATGGCAAGTGGTAATATTTGCCATGAGAGTCACAAGATCTGATGTACACTATATAACAGTGTTACACTGAATGCTGTGTTGATAACGGAGTGCTGGGAAGCAAAAGCAGCAACGAAGAGACCATTTCAGAAGCAAAGGGTATTTGCCATTGCCACAGATAGGGTACTGAGAAAAAGAACATTTGGGTAGAAGATAAAGAGTTTGGTTTTAGACATGTGAAGATTAAACATAGTTAGTGGAGATACTGAATAGGCAGTTGAAGACATGTCTGTATTACAAAGGGTAGGGTTGTCTGGGCTAGGAATATCAATTCAGGAGTTACCAGCTGATAGAAAAGTATTTACAGCTGTAAGACTGAGATCCCAAGAAAGTAAGCAAAAATAGAGAAGGAAGGCCCAAGACTGAGGGGCCTCAACATGATGAGGTCAGAGAGATGAAGAACCAGCAAAGACAATGGAGACAGTCATGAGGCAAGAGGACACGCAAGAAAATGTGATATCCTGGAAGCCAAATGAAGAATATGTTTGAAGGCAGTGGGGGTTATTGTTATGTTTATTTGTTCTATTGAGAAACTTCTATATACTTTATGTCAGTTTACCAGTACCACAATTCTGTAAGGCAGATACTGGCCTTATTTTATGAATTAGAAAACAAAAGCTTAGGGAGGAGAAATTTCCACAAATTAATGTTTCTCATGTGCACCTAATTCATCTGATCCAGTTCTGAACATTTTGCGCAAGAGATGGACTGCGGAAAGCATTTTACAAATGCTATTCCTCATACTGGTACCTAGATAGAATTAAAGGAAATGAAGATTAGTTACAGGGAAAGAAACTTGTTAGGACACATGAATTTTTCTTTTGCAATCCAAGATTGTTTTGCCAGTTTTCTCCTTTTTCTGATAATTGTTCCTTTCCCTTCTCCTCCCCCCTCCATTCCCTTCCCCGCTTCCCCCTTCCCTTTCGGTGTCGTTCTGTCTCCCAGGCTGGAGTATAGTGACACAAACATGGCTCACTACAGCCTCAACTTCCCAAGCTCCAGCTTCCCAAGTAGCTGAGACCACAGGCGCATGCCATAACACCCAGCTAATTTTTAATTTTTTGTGGAGATGGGTCTTGCCATATTGCCCAGGCTAGTTCTTGAACTCCTGGGCTCAAGTGACCTGCCTGCCTTAGCGCCCCCAACGTTCTAGGATTGTAGGCGTGAGCCACCACACTCAGCCATTCATAGTTCCTTAATTGCTTGAAAATGTGAGATAATTTGACCCCTCAGTCTATTGGGAATTAGTGGATTAGCTGGAATATAAATGTGCTAAATTCTCCGAGACAAAAAGGGAAAATCCTCCTTAATAGAATGAGTTAGAATATTTAGTGTACTCCTAACCACCTTTTGGATGTGTGCAATAAGTAATTGATACAGTTTATGCTTCCCTTTCGAGAATTTGTAATGATCAGTTTTCAAACTATTTATTGTGGCAAATAATAGCTCAGACTGCTTTCTTCTTTTTTGTTTTTAGATCATGTACAAAATGAAGAAAACTATGCACAAGTTCTTGATAAGTTTGGGAGTAATTTTTTAAGTCGAGACAACCCTGACCTTGGCACCGCGTTTGTCAAGTTTTCTACTCTTACAAAGGAACTGTCCACACTGCTGAAAAATCTGGTAAGACATTTCATATATGAATAAAAAGAATTACAACCTTTCCAAAGTGTAACGTCATATAGAGAGAACATTTCAATAATTCTTCCCCCTCAATTCTTGGTCCTGGGGTGAGAAATAAAAAACAAAAAAGCTTTTTAGTCCTAGGTGACTTCTACACCTCAACTAAAAAGGTTTTTAGTCACTTAGGATTTGCTTAAAGAAAATCCCATTGTGAAATTCCTGTAATTTGTACCTTTGGCCCAGCTGTTAGAGTAGGTTTATTGAAGCTGAGAGAGAAACTGCTTAACCTGAATTCTCTTCCACATCTCTACCATTGATTTTTTAAAAGCTAACCTTCAGAAACTTCTGCTTTTTAATTGGCTAAAAGAATAATGATGGTTTCTGTGTCACACAGACATTGGAAATACATATTGGAAGTAATGTATCTCGGCCGGGTGCAGTGGCTCATGCCAGCACTCCCAGCACTTTGGGAGGCCAAGGTGGGCAGATCACGAGGTCAAGAGATCGAGACCATCTTGGCCAACATAGTGAAAACCCGTCTACTAAAATATAAAAATTAGCTGGGCATGGTGGTGCACATCTGTACTCCCGGCTGCTCAGGAGGCTGAGGCAGGAGAATTGCTTGAACCCAGGAGTCAGAGGTTGCAGTGAGCCCAGATCGCGCCACTGTACTCCAGCCTGGCACCTGGCGCCAGAGCGAGACTCTGTCTCAAAAAAAAAAAGAAAGTAATATATCACTTGTGTGTGAAGGTGATCATGCATTTTGGTTTCTGATTTATAAATAATGAACCTCCCTTAACTCCCCACATCCTTTTAACCCCCAAGCAAGAAAAGGGTTTTGAGATTTAGGGAATCTCTGGTTTCAGAAGTAGATGACAAGAAGAATCCCTAAAGATCCAAAACACTAGAGGTGCTGGCCCCAGGAGACAGACCCAGAGATGGGGGTAATGGAGGAACCTATTTCCCAAGCAGTTGTGTGTGGGCATCCCGTGTTGTACTGCACCCCTCTCCCCAGCCCTCACATCATGTACACACTTTTTTTTTTTTTCTCTTCCGATTTTGAGACGGAGTTTCGCTCTTGTTGCCCAGGCTGGAGTGCAATGGCGCGATCTCAGCTCACCGCAACCTCCGCCTCCTGGGTTCAGGCAATTCTCCTGCCTCAGCCTCCTGAGTAGCTGGGATTAGGCATGTGCCACCATGCCCAGCTGATTTTTTGTATTTTTAGTAGAGACGGGGTTTCACCATGTTGACCAGGATGGTCTCGATCTCTTGACCTCGTGATCCACCCGCCTCGGCCTCCCAAAGTGCTGGGATTACAGGCTTGAGCCACCGCGCCCGGCATGTACACACTTATAAAGGTTCTAGGTAACACCACATTGACTGATCATTTAGATTTTGTTGGTTTTGGGGGATGAAATTATTTCTCTAAGAGACACCCATACCTCTAAGTGAAATAATTTAGGCTCTTTTCTCCTAAGTCCCCAGAGAAGGGGGTACCATGAGGTTGAAAGGTACCAAAGGAAAACTATTTATATCATGCATTTCCAAGTTAGCTCTGCCCTGGAGAAGAGGAGCTGTTTTCTCTTCTTCTCTGCCAGTCTCTTGGTATTATACTTTCACCTCCTTTAAGGATCCAGAACTCATGCCGAAGAAGTCCTTAGCCTAGTTCCGTTATTTACATATCAAATACTGTAGGCTTTTGTGACCTTAGGTGATAATTTGTCATAAATCTGTTGGATACAAAAGGTTAGTTTACAGATGAAGAAAACCTATTTGTAAAAATGAAAACTACCTTTCTACACTCTATTAACCTATTCGGCCAATTACAATATTCTTTTTCTCTATCACAATAAATAAATATATGTGTGTATGTTTCTGTCTTCCTGACACTTTTTCTAATGGGTGATTTATGCCATTGAATTAATCTTACGCAGTAAATAAGCAAATCTGAAAGCAAATGAATATTGAATATAGAAATATTTCTTATTTTCAAAAAGTTGGAAAGTATAATTTTAAACTTAGGCTCCAGTGTTTCTGTGCTTTGGAATTTAACAAATCCATGATATTTTTATAAATTTTAGATTATATAAACCTTATTTATGCAGAGAAGCACCCTTGGTTTCGTTCCCTCTGAGCATTGCCTGCGCTTTCGCTGGAGGCCTTGCTCAAAATGTGGTGTGGTAGAAAGAGAGGAAACGAAACAGGACTCTGACAGTTCACTTTGGTCATAGCTGGTAAAGGACTTGCTTGGCCAAGTTCTGTTTTCTCTGAGATGGGTGTTTTCACATGGATAGCTTGCTTTAGCTTCCAAGAGACCAAATGCATTTGGCCTAGGAGCCATTACCTCCGACGTTCCTGGACCAATTCATCTCTACACTTTGCTACACTACAGATTCCTTTCAACTGTGTGTATATGTGCCATACACACAGCTCAGTGGCCATTCAGGCCAGCATTCATCATCTGTATTTGCTCATCTAATACATTTGCTCACCTTCGTACAAAACCAGCTGAGATTTATTGAATGCTCTTGATGAACCTGGCAGTTTGGTGGGTGTGTTATGTGGATTATTTCTTTGAAGACACTACAACAATCCTAAAGTAATGGTTACTCTACCTTTAATCCAGATAATGAAACTGAGGCACATTGAGATATGTAACTTGTTCATTTACACTATTAGTATGTATTACAGACTTCAACACAAACATTCGGTCTCTGAATCCATTGTCTTTGCTTTTCTACAATACCCTACCTCTGTCACCTCGTGCTCTGGTTGTGTTGTTTCCCTAAGCAGAAGTACTGATCAAGCTACTCCCATATACATACCCCAAGCTATGGCCCCTTTTTTTTACATGCACTCCCCTTTAAGGAGTAGAAGTTTAAGAAAAATCTAAAGGAAATTGCTGGAAAGCCTAATTCATTTAATAAAGAAAAACAAATTTTGCCTCTGAAAGTGGTGGTAGCATTCCTGGTGAGGGAGTCAGTAAGAAGAATCAGTTTCTACTGTAGTTTGGTTACTAAGAAAACATTATTCTGATTGAATAAAAAGGCAGTCCCAGGAGTTTACACAACTTGACAACAGCCAGCAACTTGCTGCTTCCCTTTCTATGCTTTTCCAGGAAAGGGAAGAGCAAACTAGACAGACTGATAGGGCCACCATGCGTTGGAGCAGAGGGCTCCGAGAAAGCCAACTCCCCCCAAGGGGGTGAGGGTTCTGGATCTTTGTGCAGCACCTGCAGCCCATCCTCCTGGGGCTCAGGAGTAGCCAAATGTGAACCCATACTTCTCAGAAGATTCCCCAAAATCCTGTTCTCTTAGGCTAGTGAAGGCCAGAAACATTAAGCAAACTGACACAGTTGAAATGTAGAAACTAAAGTAGGTGAAGGTATTCAGTACATTTTAGACTTTGTAAATTGTATTCTCAATTCAACCAACAAGTACCAAAAGTCTGTTATGTTCCAAGGTATATGATAAATCCTAAAAAATGTCATTTTCAAATTAAGTATTGCTTATGAAGAGTATTTTAATAGTTTATACTAAAACATTACTTAGGTTTATAGAGAAAAAGGAAAGGATAAATTTGCGGGCCAGGTCTCTTACTAGCTTTCAGCTTTTGACTAACCCTAGATGAGAAAAACATTATTTGTTAGTTGTAAGAAATCACTATTGCAAGTGTATTGTGTTTAGCAGTTTCCAGGTGGGAGAGTGGTCTTAAAAAATAGTCAGTGCACTCAATGATGGTAACTATCTCAACCATTATTGAGATGCTTCGGGTTTTTTGTTTTTTTTTTTTTCTTTTTCTGAACTGTCTGTGATTGTAGAAAGTAGGATGATCAAGTGAGGTGTTATGTGAAAACTCCCAAGAGTTACCTACAAAGATGTTGGCATTAACACTGCATGGGGCTAAGTCTGTTTTTAATTAACCAGACATCTGAGGACTGCAAAAAGGATTGGAATTATAGCTGATTACTCTGTGAGCCCTTACCACAGTTGATGCACTAAGTCAATTTTAAAGTAACTTCCTTTTCTTACTCCCCGCCCCTCCGAATTATAGAAAATGGTTCTTATAAAAAGTTCTTCTACCTTGTAATGTAGGATTTGAGAAGCTATGAAGCAAGGGTGGTTGGAGGATCATCAGTTTTGGTCTCAATCACACCTGGAATCCCAGCTCCCACCTCACTAGCTTTATGGCCTTTGGCAAGTCACTTAACTTTTCTAATGCTAGTTCCCTTATCTCTAAAAATAAATAATAAGAGTGACTGTTTCTTGGTAGTGGCAGGATTTCATTCAGATCAGAGAAGTGAATCACCACCACAATACCTGACACAATTTGTTTCACAAATACAAACCTCCATTGTTATTTACATCTTCTCATTTTATTTTTAAGGTAACTCAATGTAAAGACAGCTATCAGTCATATCCCATTTTAGAGACAGGTACACCAAATCTTCAAAAAATACATGCCTGCAAAATGGTGCAATTAGGGATTGAGCTCAAGCCCTGTGGCTACAGATCCTGCCTTGTTTCAGTGATGCCGTCCCACAAATTACATTGCCTTGATAGATTATGTGGGTGGTAAAGGCCCATCTGACACAGTGACCAGGGCCTGTCCTGGTGATCATTAAACTACTGTGTTTAGCCTGCAAGGTACTTTCTTGGCTATTTTTGTCCTTTGATTTCTCTCATTGATGAGTAATAGCATATTGGAAAGAGAGTGTTAGATTGTTAGATGGTAGTTATCAAACTTTTTGGTCTTAGGACCTCAATCTTTTTTTTTTTTTTTTTCTTTTTTCTTTTTTTTGAGATGGAGTTTTGCTCGTCACCCAGGCTAGAGTGCAGTGGCGTGATCTCCGCTCACTATAACCTCCGCCTGCTGGGTTCAAGCGATTCTCCTGCCTCAGCCTCCCAAGTAGCTGAGACTACAGGCGCCTGTACCACACCCAGCTAATTTTTGTATTTTTAGTAGAGACAGGGTTTCACCATCTTGGCCAGGTTGGTCTCGATCTCTTGACCTCATGATCCACCGCCTCGGCCTCCCAGAGTGCTGAGATTACAGGCGTGAGCCACCACACCTGGCCCAGTACCTGAATCTTAAAAGTGACTGAGGACACCATGTAGTTTTTATTTATGTAGGCTATTTATATCCATATTTACTGTCTTAGAAATTAAAACTGAGAAATTTTTCATATGTATTATGTATTTTAAAATAATAAACACACTTTAAAAATCTGTTTTTATGGAAAAATAGCTATTTTCTCAAACCAGAAAACATTAGAAGGGTGGCATTGTTTGACATTTTTGCAAATCCCTTTAAAGCCAACTTAATAGAAGGTAGCTAGATTTTCTTGTCTACTTCTGTATTCATTTTGTTGCAATTTATTGTTTTGGTTGAGGTATATGGAAAATAAGGCCTCACACAGGAATGTATTGGGAAAAGAGAAGAGTATTTTAAGAGCCATTTCAGGGCCAGGCACAGTGGCTCACGCCTGTAATTCCAGCACTTTGGGAGGCCAAGGCAGGCAGATCATGAGGTTAAGAGATCGAGACCATCCTGGTCAACATGGTGAAACCCTGTCTCTACTAAAAATACAAAATATTAGCTGGGCATGGTGGCACGCTCCTGTAGTCCCAGCTGCTTAGGAAGTTGAGGCAGGAGAATTGCTTGAACCCAGGAGGCGGAGGTTGTAGTGCATTCCACCCTGGCAACAGAGCGAGACTCTGTCTCAGAAAGAAAATTAGAAATAAATAAATAAGAGCCATTTCAGGTATTCTATGATACTACATGAAAATTTGGCAAGTAGTCCTTCCTTAAATGTTATTGACGGTATGAATCTGAAACCACGTAAAGGAACATTATTTGGAAGCTGTCAGCTCTTGGTTTTCCAAAACTGTAGCTTTCTCTGAAAGCTCTGTTTTTATCATTAGCAATAAATGCTCTCAGTTGTTTGCCTTGAGATGTTAAGCTCACTTCTTTCATTTTCAAAGACGTGTTTGGCAAATACCGGAGTCTGAGTAACTGTAGTTTGCTAGTCTTTCTTTCAAAAAAAAAAAACGGTGTTCCACTAAAAAACAAAGCTCATTATTTCAACTTGCAACTCAAAAAATTACGTAAGTGCTTTTCCTCAAAACAACCGTCATATTTTGATATACCTAAAAAGGGCTTTATGCATACTTCCTGTTTCATTAAACAGAACGTTAAAAGATTGAATTTGAGGGTCAAGATGTGATAAAAATCATTTTTACTTTTTCAATATGGTCATTCTTAAATGAAAATAGCCTTTCTTTTTTTTTTTACTGCAAGAGCAAGACCATGAAGAATACATTAACTCCAGTTTGTGGCAGTGCCTTGATTAATGCTTAAGGCACCAGCTGTTTTACTCACTGTTGCTTTTGCACTGTCAGTGCAAATGTCAACACAGTAAAAAATTCAGATAACCTCTTAGTATTGTTATGGAAATAATTTGGACCTTGGAAACCTCTGGGGGCCTAGGCATCATGCTTTAAAACCACTGGTGTCAGCCCTACTATTAAGTAGATTAATGCTGCCTAACTTACAGACAAATTTCTTCACTAATAAATGGGGGAAATTACCTTCTCTACATACCTTATTGGTTGTGTAGGGATGAAATCATACCATTCATGTGAAAAATATTGTAACCTGCAAATCCTTTATACACACTGGATTATTATAGTATTAATAGGCTACATTAATATTAGTATTACTGTGGTATTAATAGCCACTAACAGGGGACTTTGTATTATAAAAAGAACACATGCCTATTGGGGAATTGTAATTTCTCTTTCATATTCCCTCTAATCAGAGATAACTATAATTGACATTTGGAGTTTGTTTTTCTAGTCCTTTTGTCTGTATCTTTTTTTTGGTTGGGGGGTGGCAAATAGATGATACGTTCTAAGCAATTTCGTATTTGCTAAATTTCATGTAGTACTGGCACTAGAGCAGACACACTTTCCCAAGTTGGGTCGAGCCATAGATTCAGAAGCTCAATAGAATGTGACTTATCTGAGAGCCCCACATAGTGAATTTCTCATCATTGGCAGATCAGCCTTCGTCCCCGTTGCATCCTCAGCCCCTTCCTGTTATGAGAGCCAGTGCAGTGACATCTGCAGAATGCCAAATCAGCTACCCAGGCAGAAAGACAATCAAGGATAACCCAAGTACTTACAAGATCTTTGTGTTTTACATCCATGTTCCTTATACCCCTGTAAGCTTTTATTGCCTTAAAGTGAAAAAAGTTCCCTAAAAGAGTGACTTTAAATAAGATAACCTTGCCATTTGTGTATTTTTATGACTAAAGTCAAAGTCATCCAAAATTACAAAGATGGAGAGCAGATCAGTAGTTACCTGCGGTTAGGAAAGGGAATAGCAGTGTGACCTAAGGGAGTTCCTTTGTGTTGATGGAACAGTTTGATATCTTGATGGTGGTGATGGTTGTAGTTATCTATACATGTGACAAAATGCCCCCCAGTAATTCTAGCAAGGTCTGTGGCCTAGTTGTCTTGCACCATGTTTATTTTTTCATTTTGATAATGTACTATTTAGCATATATAAGATGTTACTATTGGGGGAAGCTGGTTGATGGGCACAAGGGACCTCTCTACTAGTTTTACAATTTTTTGATGAGTCTGCAATTTTTTCAAAATAAAAGTATAAACTATCAGATTATTGTTCAAAGAGGGAAAATGTTTAGTAATACATGATTATGTAAAAATTTCAGTGTAAAACAAATGTGCAGAACACAAATCAAACTCTCACTTCTCTGATACTCTTTGAAACACCTGATCTGCAGTCCCCAGTCCCGCTTCCTTCGCACTTTTGTAGGTTTTCTACAACAGTCTTTCTCTTTCCGGTGAACTTCTCCCTCTAGTTAAAGTTCTATATGTGGTCACTATTCCACAGAAGTAGAATGATTAGCTCTTTCCTCCCAGAAGTGAGTCTAGTTGTCATGATTGAATATATCTAGGGAATGCTGCCTCTTAGTGGTGAGAAGCCAGAGAAACATGGGCAAGATCTATTCTGTTGCTGTTGTTTTTACTATATTTGAGGCATAGTTTTAAGTGCATGGGCTTTGATTTTAATGAGGCCTGTGTAAAAATAATTACTCAGCATCTTCTTACTTCTGTGGCCTTGTTGAGTTCTTTGAGTCTTGGTTTCTTCATTTTTATAAAAAGAGTCTAATAATCCCTCCCTGTGTTCATTTATGATTCATTGAATTATTTATTAAGATTCTACATAAGCACTGTGGGTAGGCAGTAGGGATACAGCAGTGAGAAGAACACAGACAAGGCAGATAAGGGCCATATCCTCTTGAAGTTTGTATTCTCTTGACATTTTTCGAAATACTTTATGTGAAATACCTATCAGAGCATCCGGTTCATAGAATGTGCTTAATAGATAGTGACATTTTTTTAAAAGAAATTTAAGTGTTTGTTTAGTTGACTTGCAATCTTTCTGAACTTATCCTTTCTCTCATTAAAGATGCCTTCCTAATCAAAGCCAGCTCCAGACATAACAAATGATTTGTTGTTCCTGGAATATATACGATTTCATGCTTCCATGTCTTTATACATTCCATTCCTTCTACTTTGAGTCCCCCTTTAGTAGTTAATGTATTGATGATAAAGGCCCTCTTTGCAATGCAGCTTTCTCGTTTAAAAAAAGAAAAAGAAAGCAGAATGCTCCTGAGTTTTAGCAGTTTCTAAGTGGTTTTGTTGTTGGTTTGATTAAATGTATAGTACAGAAAAATTATGTTTAATCTTTTTTTTTTTTTAACCATGGAAAGGAAAGCAATAAAATCATTGCTTGCTAAGCAATGCTGGGTCCGCTCTACTCCCAGCATCAGGCATCATTCCTGTCATCCTAGCAAAGAAGTTAAGAAGTTAAGAAGTCAACAGAGAATTGCATCCATTTAATACCGAAACCACAAAATGAGTCAGGAAAGAAATAACTGGTGGATTGAAATACATTCTCAATGGACAGAGGAAAACCATTTAAATGTCATACCCTTTGAAAGTCCCAAGGTAGCAATGGTTTTAGAAAATGTATGTAAATTCTTTTTAAAATAGTGGGAGTCACCCAGAAGCATTCTAGTTCATCCAGGAGTCATCATGCATCTGGTTGCTTCTCTCCTAAAGCCTTTGGACAGTTCTATAACTTGTGTCTCTTTAAACAGTTGGAGAACAGTTATTGCTTCAGAGCTGTTGAAGCAAAGCAAAGATTTCTCCAGCTGCATAGCATTTCCTGTTTGCAATCTCTGACTGTAGGGTATTGTGGTTGGTGTTAAAGTTTTTTTTTTTTTTTTAACTTCTTTTCTTTCCCCTCAAATAAGAATATCTGATAACTGGCGGGCGCGGTGGCTCAAGCCTGTAATCCCAGCACTTTGGGAGGCCAAGGCGGGTGGATCACGAGGTCAAGAGATCGAGATCATCCTGGTCAACATGGTGAAACCCCATCTGTACTAAAAATACAAAACATTAGCTGGGCATGGTGGTGCATGCCTGTAATCCTGGCTACTCAGGAGGCTGAGGCAGGAGAATTGCCTGAACCCAGGAGGCGGAGGTTGCGGTGAGCCGAGATCATTACCATTGCACCCCGCCCGGGGGAAAACGAGAAAAACCCCCCGTAAAAAAAAAAAAAAAAAAAAAAAGAATACCTGATAACTTCCAGGTTGGATCTAGATTTGCAGCCAGCAGATTATTTCTCAAGTTCTTTGAAGTGTTGAAAAGTATGGAAAGCATGGATGTGCCTAATGGTAAAATTGGTAGCTTCTGGGTGCCCTGAACTATATAATGACATTTTTTAAACCTTATTTTTTTAAAAAGTGATCATCCATCATTGGCAGATTTCAGTATTTGATCTACCAGGTATCCCCTCATGTCCTGACATGCCTCACTACCAATTAATACTGTGGGACATTTTGTGAAATGAGATCTGTCCATGTGGGTTGATGGGTGGATAAGAGGGAAAGGTGGTTTTTTTTTTTTAATCTCTTCTATTAGATAAATCATACATATATTTCTATAAAAATATAAATATGGAAAGTTTTTAAAGATTATATAATTCTAGCTTCTGTTAATATTTAAGAGTATAGTATTTTCTTTGAAACAATTTTGTGGATTTATACACAGAGATACTGCTAATTTGCATAGAAAGCTGCAGGTGTGGATATATATCTCATTCAGGTCCAAAATCCTTGGAGTTAGATTTATTCCAAAATTCAGAGTTCTACAGATTTCAGAAGGATGACAGCGTGTACATGCCTTATATCATGCAGCATACCCCCTAGTGACTTCCTGGGAAGGTACTTATAATTCAACACAGTTTTATGTCTGCAGTGAAAAGTGAATATTCACATGAAGTGGGATAAATAAAGACTATTAGGTGCCCCACCTTAATCAGAGATTACCAACAAATGAAGTCAGGACAGGTTTTGCTGTTAAATGAGTTTCAACTAAAAAAAAAGAAGCCGTGTATTATATGTATATTTTGTGAACTCAGGTTTTTGTTTTGGTTTTGGTTTGAAGCATGATAGTCTTCCATGACCACATAAGTAAACTGCAAAATTGTTTTAACAGTCTGCACACTATTTTATTATGTATCTGGACCATAGCTGATTATTTGAATTTTCTATTTGTCAATACAGGTAGAGTTTGTCTTAAATACATCCAATAAACAGATATCCTAGTGTATACCTCAGGCTGAATTTGGAAATGGTTTCTGTTTTGGCTTTTTTTTTTTTTTTTTTCCTTTAAGGATTTGCATTCAATGTTTCACGGTAGGATTTCAAATAATACATTTTAAATTGGATTGCATTTTCAGCTTGTGGCTTTTGCATGCTGTTAATAGCACTTGTCTAAAGTGTGTATGCATGCAGTATGTGTATTTAGTTGTCTACTGTTATTTCACTTGAGACAGACTCACAAAACAGCATTTGGTTTGAGCTGTGGTTCTGTATGAGAGGAAGAAAGAAGAGAAAGAGAGAGTGAGGAAGGGAGAAGAAAAACTGTCGCTTATTGGAGCAAAGTTTCATTGACCATAGGAAAGGATTGAACTTTAAGAATGATTGGTACTGGAATGCTTTGTGGTGTCTCTAACAACATTTGCTAATCATTATCTTTTTGGTAAAAGAGCTGGTCTCACCTCACAGCCTTAAGGCAAGTGAAGTTTGCATTATTTTTATTTTTATGGTTAACTTTTGCTATACAAATAATACTGATAACAAGACCTTGTCTTTATAGTGTGGTAACTGTATGCCAGACACTGGGCACTTGAGTACTTTACATGTTTTATTGGTTAAGATAGGCTAGGATATACTGCAATAATAAATAAACCCCCAAATCTCTGTTGCTTAACATGGTTCATTTCCTTCACATGTGACATGTCTACCGAGGGGGTTTGTTCTACTTAGTAACAGCAACTCATAGACTTAGAGGCATGGAAGCTCCCCCTTCTCTACAGGGGAAGAGAGAGACTAGAGAAGCATATGCATACTTTTCACAGTTTTCCTAGATGTTGTAGTTAATTGGTTTGAACTGTGTTTTTGGCCCCACCTACCTAGCTGCAGGAGACCCACGGAAATGGGAGGGAGCAATGGAGTATTGGGTGAGCGTTATCCTCTCTGTCTCATATGTATATAGCCTCATTTACTCCTCACAGCAGCCCTACTAGGTAGTAACCATAGTTACCTTTATTTAAGAGCTCAGAAAACTGAGTCACAGAGTTAAGTAAATCTCAGATTCAGCATTCAAACCCAGGTGGTCTGTTCTAGCGCAGTGGTCCCCAACCTTTTTGGCACCAGGGATCAGTTTTGTGGATGACAGTTTTTCCACAGATGAGGGGTAGCAGGGAGGATGGTTTGGGGATGATCCGAGCGTATTACATTTATCATTAGATTCTCATAAGTAGCATGCGACCTAGAACCCTTGAATGTGCTCTTCACAATAGGGTTCCCTCTCCTGTGAGAATCTAATACTGCCCTTGATCTAACAGGAGGCGGAGCTCAGCTTCCCTCCATAGCCCACCACTCACCTCCCGCTGTGTGGCCCAATTCCTGACAGGCCACAGACCTATACCCGTTCATGGCCTAGGGGTTGGGGACCCCTGCTCCAGAGTACACGGTACCACCTCTCAAAAGATATGGACATCCTTTTGTGGACATAATGTAAAATTTACCTTTAAATTAAGTTAAAAGTTGTATTGGCTTAAAGAACAGCAATTAAAACATTTGACAGTGATGTTATAAAGATAAGGCAAATGCTGATTGGAGAGAATTAACAGTCTTCTGTCTGCATGACCTTTGTCCCAAAAGGATCCAGAGCTTTCTCCAGGTCCAGATCTGGAGGTACATTGCAAAAAGTAAATGCAGGTCTTTCTTCCTTTCTTAACAGAGAATTCTGTCAAACTCTGCCCTGCATTCACTTCTTTGATCCCTTCCACTCTTCCTTGATTTGCCATTTTCCATCCCAGGTATAACCCTTTATCTGCATCTCCCACTCTTCCTAGCTGCTTCAGATTAAATGTTCTGTCTTGAGCTGGCTTTGGATTCCTCTGCACAATGTTGCCTCTGAGTCTCTCCTCACTTTCACATACTAGGACCCTCAGACAGGGCCACCATTCCAGATCCGGACTGTTGGGATCTACAGCCCAGCCGGTGCTTTTTCAGGGCTGATGTCAGCCAGCACGGGGAAACACAGGTTAGTGAGGGGAGCATGGCTGGACGTCAGGCTTCCCTTGTACAAGCCAGGTGGGTGCTTGGAGCCATGTACACCTTGCACAGCCTTACACAGTGGCCTCCTGGGTCTGGTACATTTGGCTTCTTCTTGCCTGGCAACAAGGCTATAAAGAAACTTGTCCAATGCAGTGCTTTCTAATTTATTTGAGCACTGACTTTGTTGTTGTATAAGAAACATTGACTTTTCATGGAACCACTTCAGAAAACGCTGATTTAGATGTTTTGCTGGACCAGGTAATCCATTTCATTTTTGTGTGTGTGTGTGTTTAATTCAAATTCACTTCTGCCCTCCAAGAATTTCTTTTTTTTCCTGAGATATCAAAAATAATAGATTTCTTCTCTTTGCCATATGTGTATTTTTTTATGATTGTATGCATCGTTGTTACTGATACAAAGTATTTTACATATTTATGGGGTACCTGTGAGTATTTGTTAGATGTGTAAAATCAAGCCAGGGTATTTGGGGTATCCATCACCTTGAGTATTTATCATGTCTGTGTGTTAGTAGCATGTCAAATCCTCTCTTCTTAGCTTCTTTGAGTATACAATACATTATTGCTAACTATGGTCACTCTACTTTGCTATCAAATATTGGGCTTATTTCTTCTATCTAACTGTATGTTTGTACCCACTAATCAACCTCCCTTCATCCTCCCCTCCCACCCACACACCCTTCTTGGCCTTTGGTATTTATTATTCTGTTCTCTGCTCTACAAAACCAAGTGTTTTATCTCCTACCTATCATGAGTACGAACATGCAGTGTTTGTCTTGCTGTGCCTGGCTTTTCCCACTTGCCATAATGACTTCCATTTCCATCCATGTTGCTGCAAATGACATGATTTCATTTCTACTTTATATTTCAGTGTGTAATTTCTCATTCTTTTTAAGCTGGTTGCTGCTTTGCTTTTCATTTTAGATTATACCGTTTCGTAGCTTCAGGGTTAAACATGAAGAAATGGCCAACTGATGCAGTCTTGAACTAGCATCTGACTACACCTTTCAGTAGAAACAAGTGGATCTTTTCATTGACATACTGCCCCAGATGTGTTAAGCAACTGAAAATTCAGAGAATTGGCAGAAATAACTTGACATTGAAATCAGATACAATTGAGTTCATGTCTCTGCTCTACCACTTCCCGAGCTAGGTCACCTGAGGCAGATTGATTCATTCATCTAGAAAGCAAGAGTATCAAGGAAGGCTTTGCAGAGGAGGCACTCTTTATCTGAACCACAAATAATTAAGAGATATTCATGAAACTCTATTATCTTAAGCTAGCAGAGGCTGTTTTCATAAATAGAAACATTAAATGATATTAAGCAATGGTTGATACACTTGATAAAGAGTGAGGTAAAAGTCTATCCTTTAGCAGTAAGAAAGAAACAAACTCTCCTTAAAGTGTGTCTTTGTCTCTGCCAGCAGTTACCAAGTGCCCACTCTGTTCCAGACTGTGTGCTAAGACTGTCATTTTCTATGTAACAGATTGCTTATACATAATGTTTTAATAGTTTACCCTAGAGCACTCCTTAATTTTACGGGGAAAGATGGACAAGGGTATAGGACCAGACTTTAAAAACATCGTGCTTTTGGTTTCCCACACATGGGGTTTCCTGGCAGCAGTTGGCATCACAAATGTAATAGCTAAGAAGATTCCTTTTCTGCAAGGGAGGCTTTGAAATATGTCAAACAACTGCATATCAGAGTTACCATTTAGGTGGATTCTTTGACTTCTGAAAGATTTAATGAGGATTAAGTGAAATGAGTCCTACAGCATGAAAATATAGATCAAGCAGACGGGACAGGGCTTTCCAAGCAAAGGGAGCAGAGATGTCTCTGTTTTCTTGTCAGTTAAATGAAGACAGTAATGTCTACTGTGAGACATGACTATGTCACCCTAGTACGTGGTAAGCCCTGTGTGCTTGCATATGTTTATTTTACTGAATTTTTAAAATTGTGTTAAGAGGGTATATCCTGAGTAAAAGATATTGCAAAACGTTGATCAT